GAGTGCCATTTTCTCCTTAGATCTAAGCTCATTAATTTTGTAAACAAACTCCAAGATTCCCATAGCAGCTTTATTTTATTACATACACTCATCTCTCAGGAACATGCGCTTGTTCTTCAACAGAGGCATTTGGTAACGCCGTGTCCATCCAGCAAAGTGCTTTCCCTCATAGTAGGCACATAATAAATATTTACTGGACGAATGGATGGTAGACAGATGGATAAATGAAAGCAATAGATTATATTAAAGTAATGTCAATTTTGTTAGGAGTTTGATATGCACATATAGTGTGTAAAAAACATCATCACGGGAGTATTAGAGACTGTCTGGTTTTGCATCATCAGGGGAAGAGAGCCAGCATTAGACAATGGCCAGTTGCTCCTTTGCATCCGGCTGCCTCAACCATCTTACTTAAGAAATTAAATACATTTCTTCCAGTTCCTTGCTATATGAAATAGATGACCATAGGATCATAGGAACAGAGTCTCGCAACTCTACTTCTTTTGTATAGTTCCCAGCATAATTATTTTGAAATTTTAGAAATACAGTTATCTGAAACAATGGAAGTGTACTTTTTTTTTTTTTAATATATCTTTATTGATTTCAGAAAGAGGAAGGGAGAGGGAGAGGGAGAGAGAGATAGAAACATCAATGATGAGAGAGTCGTCATTGATCGGCTGCCTCCTGCACGGCCCCCACTGGGGATCGAGCCCACAACCTGGGCTTGTGCCCTGACTGGGAATCAAACCACAATCTCCTGGATCCCAGGTCGATGCTCAACCGCTGAGCCACATCAGCCGGGCTGGAAGTCTACTCTTAATAGCACGTAATGAAGCACAAGTAAAACCAGTTGATTTTTGACTCCTGACTGTGCACATGATCAATATGTGACTTAATACACTTATTGAAAGTTGTAAAGTGACTGAATAAACTGTATTTTATTAAAATCCTCTTTTCAAAATTTTATTCAAAATAAACTTAGAAAAAAATGTCCTGCTTTGGAGACTGTCCATCTTGGGAAATTTGGAATGAGTCATTAATACACTATACACCATGACCCTTCCCTACCTCGATTTTCATGTAGTTTCTTTGTCTTCAGTGGGCACTATCAACACTTGACCTTTTATCACCTTCTACCCATGTAACAAGTCCTCCCAGCCCATGCAACAAGTGGAAAGATTTATTTCCAACTGCTGTCTCCCTAAAGAATGAAGTGCAGATACATGACGTCTAAAGGGAACTGGGCCTCGAGTTAAATCATGACACTGCCCAGGCACTCACAGATCATTATGATCTCTGGGTAAACAAGGCCGACCTCTAAGTGCCTGAGTCAAAGGTAACAGGAAGATCCAGGCGTACCGAAGATGCTTGACAAACTTAACCTTTTCATTGAATATTTAAAATACCTGTATTTTATCTGTATCTGTCTCCTAACAGGTACAGTCCATGCCCTAGTCACCTATGTATTTTTCTCAGCACCTAGCACAATATTCATTGTTAGAATGAAATGAGAAACTGCCACATACATAATTTTTCCTTTCAAATTTTTTTATATTTTCCAATTTTTCTTTAATGAATGTAAACAGCTTATACAATAAAATAATTAACAGTCCCAATATTTGTTTGTGCTTTTAAGGTGTATATTTTACATAGATCTATGATATTGAATATATTTTATACATATATACATGATCATACTTATGATTGAAGGAAAGTAAGGAAATCGTTTAAAACTGACTTGTGAGTCAGTACATAATGCATTTTCAACTTCTTATGGTAATTTGTTAATTACAATACAGAATATTTAAATACTAAATATGTGTTTGTGTTGTTCTAAAAACTGGTTAGCAAAAACTGAAATGAATGTTTTGGTTGTTTTCTTATGACACAACTGGGTGAAAAGCAGAACTACACAGAAGTTTCATAATGAAACTCCAAACCGCATTAAGCTCGTCTATTGTCAGGCTCTGTTGCGTTCCCCCAGCTGACCCCGACTCCCTGAGGTTGGCAAACAGGGCAAAGTTTGCGTCAAAACCACGCCCTGCCTTTGAGCTTTTGGGATACACTTGGAATTCTGGGAGAAACCAAAAGAAACAGCAGGTTTTTTTCCTCCAGATGTGGCAGGTCTATCACTTTCAGTGGTTATTCAAATTTCAAACTCAGCCCAGCAAGTAAGGGCAGTCGCCTGGGAGGGGAAGGAGGGGACGGGCGGGAGAGTCCTAAGGTTCTGTCCCGCTCCCATTGAGATGTAGCTATTGTAAGATTCCCTGGGCGAGGGAGCAAGTTATGGAGAAGGCAGGGCCCGGAGGAAGGGAGAGGATGGAGGCAGGAGCCAATGAGGAGAGTGTGTCCTAAACAAAGATTGGGATTAATCCAATTCTGTTGTCCTGAGATCCAAGGGGGAAAAATGGCACTTGACAATTAATAGTGTTCATTTTTCTGGAGGCTGGTTCCATGTATGAAGCAGGTTGTGTTCCTGCATGATCATTAAAAGGACAATTTAATGCAGAGTTTTATTCTTAAACGAAAAAAAATTCTGAAAAAAAAAATCCAATAATGTAAATTTTGCTTGGTTGTCCCATGTCTATCAAATATACTTTTTCTTTAGCTAGTCCTGTAAATAATGAACTGGAAAATAATTTTCATCTTAATTTTTAAATTATTCTTTTATTTATAATAGTCAACATTTGTTGAGTACTCAACTCTATTCAGGCACTGTGCTAAGTATTTTACATACTTTTATGGAGAAACACTTACTGCCCAATCCAGTATTTCCTTCCATATGGGGGAACACCCAGTAGAGTAATCTTCCTGGCCTGTATACACTGACTACTTCCCAGGGCAGAGAGAAGCTACTTTGGATATTGATCTACTGGGAGTCTGGGATGAAGACCAGGCACATGACAAAGGTCAAATATAACTGATGTTACTTTCCCCTTCTCCATTCTCTTTCAGATATCCCAGCCTGCAAAACACATGTGTGCTAGTCTGCTCTCAGTGAGGCCAGCAGAAGAGTGGTTACAAGGCTGGGAAAAGACAGTAAGTCAAGTCTAGGACTGGGTTGGATATTGATCTACTGGGAGACAGTCTCCTGGGAATATTATGCAGCTGAGAGAAATGAAAGTGAGCATTTCTTTGCTTTTGGCAAATACAGAACACATAGATTTCATATGTCTCACTATGGAGACCCAACAAAGCAGAACGTAGAGGGGTATGTAAGAAAAATGCATGTGTGCTTTTTCGCAAAGGGTTTGCAGCCAGAACACAGGTGATGTGAAAACCACCACTAAATCAAACCCAAAATGAGAAAGGAAAAGACTCATATCAACATGAGTCTTTGGACACGTAGACTCCGGCAAGTCGGCCACTACTCGCCATCTGATCTACAAGTGGGGTGGGATCGACAAAAGAACCATCGAAATATTTGAGGAGGCTGCTGAGATGGGGAAGGGCTCCTTCAAGTCTGCCTGGGTCTTGGAAAAACTGAAAGCTGAACGTGAGCATGATATCACCATTGATATCTCCCCATGGAAATTCGAGACCAGAAAGTATTTTGGGACCATCATTGATACCCCACGTCACAGAGACTTCATCAAAAACATGATCACAGGCACACCTTAGGCTAACTGTGCTGTCATGATTGTTGCTGCTGGTGGTGAGTTTGAAGGAGGCATCTCCAAGAATGGGCAGACCCGTGAGCATGCCCTTCTGGCTTACACACTGCGTGTGAAATAACTGACTTGGTGCTAACAAAATGGATTCCACTGAGCCACCCTACAGCCAGAAGAGATACAAGAAAATTGTTAAAGAAGTCAGCACCTACATTAAGAAAATTGGCTACAACCCTGACACAGTAGAATTTGTGCCAATTTCTGGTTGGAACAGTGACAACAGGCTGGAGCCAAATACTAATATGCCTTGGTTCAAGGGATGGAAAGTCACCCATAAAGATGGCAATGCCAGTGGAACCACACTGCTTGAAGCTCCGGATTGCATCCTACCGCCAGCTTGTCCAACTGACGAGCCCTGCGTCTGCCCCTCCAGGGTGTCTACAAAATTGGCGGTATTGGTGCTGTCCCTGTGGGCCGAGTGGAGACTGGTGTTCTCAAGCCCGGCATGGTGGTCGCCTTTGCTCCAGTCAATGTTACAACTGAAGCAAAGTCTGTTGAAATGCACCATGAAGCTCTGAGTGAAGCTCGTCCTGGGGACAATGTGGGCTTCAGTGTCAAGAGCGTGTCTGTCAAAGATGTTTGTGTGGCAGTGAGGCTGGTGACAGCAAACATGACCCCCCAGTGGAAGCAGCTGGCTTCACAGCCCGGGCGAGTGTCCTGAACCATCCAGGCCAGATCAGTGCTGGACATGCGCCTGAGCTGGACTGTCACACAGCTCATCTTGTCTGCAGACGTGCTGAGCTGAAGGGGAAGACTGATTGTCGCTCTGGGGAAAAGCTGCTGGACCTAAGCGTCTGAAACCTGGTGACGCTGCCACTGTCAGGATGGCGCCTGGCAAGGCCATGCGCGTCGAGAGCTTCTCTGACGACCCTCCTCCGGGCCATTCTGCTGTTCGTGACGTGAGACAGACAGTTGCTGTTGGTGTCATCAAAGCAGCGCACAAGAAGGCAGCTGGAGCTGGCAAAGTCGCCACGTCAGCCCAGGAAGCTCAGAGGCGGAATGAATATTACCCCCAGTACCTGCCCCCAGCCTCAATCAGTGGGAAGAACGGTCTCAGAGCTGTTTGTCTCAATTGGCCCTTGAAGTTTAGGAGTAAAAGGCTGGTTAATGATTACAACGCATCGTAAAACCCTCAGAAGGAAAGGAGAATGTTTTTGTGGACCATTGTTTTTTTTTTATGTGTGTGGTAGTTTTTACATTATTTGTTTTTAAAATCACTACTTTTTAATGGAAACAACTTGACCAAAAATCTGTCACAGAATTTTGAGGCCCATTAAAACAAAGTTTAATGTGAAAAAAAAAAGAAAAAGAAAAATGCATGTCTGGGTCAGAAAACAAAGAGAGAAACAAAGAGAAAGTGTGTGAGAGAGCAAAGGAAAGCCGATGCCCAAATCCAGCAAATGGTACTAGCCCTACCCCAGGGAGAAAAAGAAAGCAAGCAATCTGAAAAGCAGGTCGAACTGCTGTAGACTCAGGTGAGCTTTTCTGAAAAATAGCAGTGGAACAGAGGAAGGAAATCTATAACACTGGAGGCCTAATCTCTTGCTGTGGAAAAAGATGTAGCTGAAAGAAGTGCTACTCAAGGCTATGACATCGAAAGTGACAGGCAAAGGTCTTGAGTAGCACATAACACAGGTAAGAGAAACTCTCCAGGCCCATAGAGGCACAGGTTCCAAAAGCAGCTTTAACCCAGGTCTTTGCTGAGGGTGAGATCCCATTGAAATAACTGTAGGAAGCAGGAGGAAGCCATCTGTAGGAGACAGGGGTCTTGGCCACGGCAGGAGGTAAAGGCAACCACCCCCGGGGCTCAGGATTGAAGAGCTGTTCATAAGATATCCCAGAGGTTATGTAACTAGACAGAGCCCCACTCTTTTCAGCAAGGGATGCTTGAAACATGGGACTCAATGGGAAAGGACAATGGAGAGTTTTTGAAGATGTTAGACAGGAAGGAAAGGTCCTTAAGTAAAGCTTATTGACCAGGGCTGCCATCGTGTGATTTTTAAACATTTTTAGAAACCCGCAGCCCGTGATTCACAGGGACTGGGTGCTGCGTGGGGAGACCAGCAGGTTCGGCACTGCCCGTTGTCTGACTGATGTTCCATATTAGGAGGCCTATTGCTGCCAAACAACTGAGCCACATCTTCAGTCCTAGCCTTTAGAAGTTTAGCAGGTTACGTTTTGACCACCATTTATTATCTCCTTTCTTAATCTCAGTACTAATGCTGAACTGCAGTGGGAGAAGATATGCTTTCTCCCTTTTTCCCCAGGAGGAAACAGATGCAATGAGCCAAGTCACTTTCCTAAGATCACACTGTACCAAGTGGCAGAATTTGAATTCAAGTAGAAGCTGAGTTCTTAGCTTCATTTCTTATTATAACTCTTTTCATGATGAAAGCTTTTGATACACACAAACGAAAAACATGCCACTAGTGAATACATTAGGAGTGTTGATAAAGTTAGGTCCCGTAAGTCTTCAATTTATTTTTCTTAGATTGTGTTTGAACTTTTAGGTTGTCACATTTGAAATCTCACTAACTGTCTTAACAAATACTTCAAAAAAAGGCTATTTGAAGGCAAACATAACTTCCATTTATCTTTTTCTCTCATGGGACCTCTAGCACATGACAAAGAATGGACCAAAATTGTGTCTGCCCCAAATATTTTCACCTGTGTGTTGGCGACCTGGAAAGGCTTGAATCTAGATATTTCCAATAGTTTGAACATGACAGTCAAGGGAGTAGAATTAAAATGAGAAGGTACTCATCTTAAAAATCAAGTAGAATTTATCAAACTTACAAATCTACTCCACACTTTCCAGGAAACCATTGTTAGTTACTGTTTCTTTGTCTGGATTGTTTTATTAACTGAAAAAAATTGCTGTTTTATGCAATGATGTGAACATTTTGTTTGAAAATGAGTGGAAAGCAGAAAAATAAAACACAATACTTATGATTATTCAAGTAAGACAAAGATGGAAATTATTAGACATACTAAAAGTAAAAATATTTGGCCTCAAATTCTCATTGGATTTAAGCTGGTCAACAGTTTAATTATAAATGCAAAAAACAAATTTTAAGCATTTGTTCAAAATGCAGAGATATAGTGACAGAGAAAATAGATGTATGAAATTATGAATTGGAAGTCAGCATCAAGAAATATCCCGGGAGTCCAAATGCAAAGAGAAGCATTAGTTCCACAGCTCTGTTAACAGGGATACAGCTGTGGCTTGATTCCTCTCTCAGGGGAGAAAGAAGACTGATGTTTAACTTTTTCTTGAGAAAGTCAGTGTACAATCTCATGTGTAATTCCTCACAAAATCCCCTGAAAAACCACCCTTAGCAAGTCCTTCCCAACATTTACATGCATTTCTTCTGACTATCATATGTCCTTTCCGGTAAGCTGAGAGAGCTAGAATTTGAAAGAAGACATTATCAGGAAATGCATTCTTGTGTAAATTGGTGTTTAATCTACCCATGGAATATCTGACGTGGTATCAGAAGCCTTTCAGTTGCAAATAAGAAAACAGTAGGGCAGGCTTTTTGAGCCTGTGGACTCACAGAGTACATTCAACAACAATTTTTCCTTTCACCCTCATTGCTCATACTGAGAACCTGGTCCTCCCTTGGCAGGAATCCAGACTGGGACACTGCCAGGTAATACAAGTCGTCTGACGACATCTAGTCGTATGAATCGTCTTGTTTTATTAATCAACATGTTCCGTAATTTAAACGTAAAAGTCAAAACTCCAATTTCATTTCAAGCGAAAGTCTCTCCTCTTGAAAAAGGCCTTGCCGTGGCAGGTCTGTGTCATCTCTGCTCCTCCTTGCTGCTCCCACTCCTGCTTCCCGGTCACCAGGGGGCTGCCTCTGGAACCTGCAGGGTGAAAGCAGAGAGATGACCAAGGGCTAAGGGGCAAGAAATGTCTCACCTGACTGGCACCAAGGTGCCCTGGCATGGGTCCCCTCTGGCTGTGGCAGATGTTTAAAGCTATCTGTTTCCAGCGGATGTTCAAAGCTGACTATTCTCGTGGGTGGTTTCACGGGTATTTTGGAGGAGCCCTCGTCGAACTGCCTGTCCTGTGGGTGAAACATTTACCTCTAGCTGGTCACTTGTGTTTCCTCCCACAGCGGTGGGAATCAGGTGGGCCAAGCCTCTGGTAGGGTCACTTCACCTTCCTGAGCAGGACTCTTGAGCAAAATTTGCAATGGCTCCAGATTGGCTCTCTTCTGAGCATGCCCCTACTTGATACGAAGCACAATCTTTGTCCCTGCTTTCAGCACAGATGCAATTAGCACCCAGTGCAGGCTGGGTTCTTTCTCTCGCTGTGCTCTAGACCAAGAGCTACAGCTTCTTACCTCGCCTCTCCAAGTTCATTTATTTGCATGTCATCACCACCTCATCCACTGCATCACCAGCAGTCACTTTTAGTACCTGTCCACACATGGCCACTCCAAGATTATGAGCATGATTTCCCATTCCTCCCTCCAAAAAAGGGATGTATGCAAGCATTTTGTAGATTTTAAGTTTATAAGGTAATAATTATATAGAAAACTATAAAATGATTATGTTATAAAAATATAATTATACTTATAATGTGTAAATATAATTATAAAATATAAAATTATTATATTATAAAATGTAAAATAATTTTATATACAACAAATATATAATAATAAAATATAAAATTACATATCATATCACTGTATACCTTATATATATAATATATGAACAAGTTTCTATAACTGTCATTCTTTCATGCCTTTGAAGGTATAAAGGGAGCTAGAGAGCCTGGCACAGAGCTCCTTGTCCAATGAACGTCCCAAGTCAAGGAAGAGACTATGAAAAAGGCCTACTCTCTTCTCTCAAACAAATGCCTCAGAAAGGTGGTGATAAATTGCCCAGCCTTTTCATGGCCCAAGGCAGCTTTGCCCAGGTGCCCAGTTCTGGGAAACCATCTCCATCATAGTAACTGAGATGCCCTCTCCAATCGAAGGTTAGTGGCTCATGGGTTCCTCCATCCTGCCGGGTCCTCTTCAGTAGGAAGGAGATAAATGATAGATGTGCCGCAGAGATGGTCTCCTTGCTCCTGGAGATAGGGCCAACTTCCGTAACTGTGCTCTGCTGCGTGTGAAGCATGAAGCCATGCATCAATAGTGAGGAACCAGAGCTCTACTAAATCTGGGGTAAAAATGAAAGACGGGGCCCTGGCCGGTGTGGCTCAGGTGGTTGGAGCGTCCTCCTGTATACCAAAAGGTGGCAGGTTCCATTCCCACTGAGGGCACATACCCAGGGTGCAGGTTCTATCCCCAGTCGGGGTGCATGTGGGAGGCAACCGATCCATGTTTCTCTCTTCCTTTCTCTCTTCCTCAAAAAAAACAAAAAAAAACACAATAAAAATAAACAAAAAAAAAGGTGGAGAATGTTGATAGTTCGGGGTGAAGATCAGTTTTATTACTGTTTCCTGACTTCACAGGATTTTCTCTTGCATAAAGTTACTTGGCACAAACTTTGACAGTTCTCATTTAGCATAATGATTATGTGCACAGATGTTGGGAGTTAGATGACTTGGGTTTTAATTCTCACTCTTCCACTTACTAACTGTGTGGCCTTGGACAAGTTACCTGAGCAAGTTCATGGAGTGAGGGGTAGGAGTGCTCCCTTCTGCTCCTTAAAGCATCTAAAAATCTGTTGAAATCAGACTCTGAAGCCCATGGCAGTCTGATGGCCTTAAAGGGAGCATGTAGACAGGATTATCTGGCAAAGGAGAACCTCCAGTTCAACTTTTATTGAGTCTCCATTCCCCCAGAGAAACCAGCAACTCAAGAGGTGAGCCTGGCAGGGACTGCATCTTCTCCAGGACTTGTCTAAAGGCACTACGGCAACACGCAGGCAGCCAGCCTCCTACGTTGAGGTGGAGGGATGGCAGACATGGCAGGTTTCAAGTGGAAATTTTACAAGACCCAGGGACAGCCATATAGCTGGGCATCCAAGAGATAAGAATCTGATTTAGAAACAGGAAGGATCTTTAAAATCCTTAGCTTCAGTAATTTGAATAAAATAAAGCATGATATTGGAAGGCATGACTAAGCTGAAAATAGCAGTTTTAGATTGGGAGGGTGAGATGATGCATTTCTGGAAAAGGCATTTTACTTGAGACCTGAGATATAAGAAGGAGACTGAGTCCTTTATCCATTCATTCAGTCGTTCATTCAACAAATGTTTATTGAGCATGAACGTTTTATTATTGTGTGCCAGGGCTCTTTTAGGCATAGAAGACAGAGCAATAAACAAAATTAGATAAGAATACCTGTCCTAATGGAACTCCTATTCCAGTGTGGTAAAACAAAAATAAAAAGGAAACTATATAGTGTGCCAAATGGTAATAAGTGCTATGGGGAAAAGCATAAAAAAGGGAAAGAATATTTAATTTCAGTTTTAACGTTTCACCAGGGTTTCCTCACTGAAAAGGTTTAACAAAGAAAGATTTGAAAGAGACGAGGAAGTGAGCCATGCAGAAATCTGGAGGAAGAAAATGCTAGGCAGAAAGAAACAGCAAGTGCAAAGGCCCTGGGGCAAGAGCATGCTTGATTTATTCCAGGAAAAGCAAGGGAGCTAGAATGCCTAAGAAGAGTAAATAAAAGGGAGGGCGGTAAAAAGCCATACAGATTATGTAAGGTTAAGCAGAGGCCTGGAGTAAAATTCTTCTAGGCAGTTGGAACAGCAACTGTGAAAGTCCTGAATCAGGACCAAGGTTGGCCCTATTTAAGCTACAGAAAGGGGCTGATAGAGCTGAAGTATACTGAGCAAGGGGAAAAGTTAAGATGAAGTCCGAAAAGTCATCTAAGTGAGACACCTTTTTTTAATGTAGAGCCTTATATTATAATTATAGACCAGTGTTAGGAATGTATATATACATCTATTTTTCCTAAGTACATTGGAAATAATTAGCTATTACTGTTGTTATTCATGAGATACTATTCAGTTGAATAGATTGAGGAATGCTGCCTTCATGCCAGTTTTAACTTACCCTCGCGCTCATTCCCCATATCAAAGAAGACTATACCAGGAACTTGCTAAAGAGCCTCCAGATTCTCTTTTACTTTTTCTTAAATTACAGTAGGATCAAATCACTCCTCTCCTCAAAATTTTCTGTTGACTTTTTTACTTGAACAGTTGACCCTTTAACAACATGGGAGTTAGGGGTACCGCAGACCTCTGGACAGTTGAAAATCCACATACAACTTTTGACTCCTCAAAACTTAAGTTATTCCCGGGTATCCATGGAAGATGGGTTCTAGCACCCCCCACCGATAACAAAATCTGCAGATGCTCAAACCGCTTATAAAAATCAATGCATAGAGTCAGCTCCCTGCATCTGCAGATGCTTAATGGTGGATGAAGAACCAGTAAAGGATTTATTGGAGGAAAATCCACTTATAAGTGGACCGATGAAGTTCAAACCTGTGTTGTTCAAGGGTCAACTGTAGAATCAAGTTCATGCTCAGTAGCCGGCAAGGATGTCAAGGTCCCCTCTAGGTGTCCCTCCACATGTTCCTTTCAAAGGCACTGATGTACAAATTCTGCTCTGAATGTACATGCATGATCAGAACTCTACCATTTAGCTCATGCCACTCCCTCAGCCTGAGCTCTCCTTCCCTGTGTTCTTTGCTTGTTCGAAGTCTTCTCTTCCTCCAGAGCCAGCAGTTTCCACTCCTCTTAAGATGTGCTTGCTATGCCTAGACAGAAAGTCCCTCATTCCTTCAGCCATGTACCCATCAATGTCACTTGTGTCTCAATTTGGTGTGTTTATCAGATTGCCTTTTTGTAGACTTGTATCACGTCTCTCACTCCCATTAAAGTATAAGCACACTGAATGCAAGGGCTTTATTTGTGTTGTATTTTGCAGAACTGGTGCCCAGCATAATTGCTAGTGCTCACTAAGCCGGTGCTCACTAAGTTGCTGATGAAGTGAAATTTGAGAGGCAGGAATGTGACAAACACCTTTACAAAACGCACAAGGACAGCCCAGCCAGCTGATGGCTCGTGTGGCTCAGCGGTTGAACATCGGCCTATGATCCAGGTGATCACAGTTTGATTCCCAGTCACGGCACATGCCCGGGTTGCAGGCTTGATATCCAGCGGGGGGCATGCAGGAGGCAGCCGATCAGTGACTCTTATCATTGGTGTTTCTATCTCTCTCTCTCCCTCTCCCTTCCTCTCTCTGAAATCAATAAAATTATATATATTTTTAAAAAGCACTAGGACACAAAGAGAATAATAATATGACCATGCTGTCAAGGAGTTTATAAACCAATAATAGTAGCTACCATCGATTGAGTCCTAATGAGGCTATAGGCGCCATCCATAGAGTTAGCCACTTTACACTCACAGCAACCCAATGAGGTAGGTGTCAGAGCCCCAAGTTTACATCATGAGGTTAAGGAGCTTGTCCAAGTTCATAGAGTAAGCAACAGGATTCAAACTTCTGTCCGTCCAGCTTCTAAGCCTGTGCTTTTCCCACTATACATTGTATCAGTTGGGATCTAGTCAGGAAAATAAACAGGTCTTTCAGAGAACAGGACATTTTTTTTTTTTTACAGAGGATTCGTCACACAGATGAATGGAAGAGTGAAGAGGCCAAATAAGGAATGATGAAGCAGCCCAGAGATTTAGCAAAATTAGGTCAGTCCCCCCTGCTGCATGGTGACACTGGGGGAAGATGGTGCTACCAGAGCCCAGAGGCCTGAACTGACAGGCAGAGGAAGCTAGAACCACGGGGGGAACTGCGCAAGGGAGACCTGGGGCCAGGAAGGGAGAGGCTGCCCAGTGGGCCCTGCCAGATTCCACAGGAAGCGGGGAAAGAAAGAGTGAGAAAGGCCCTGGCGGCTCCCTCCCTCTGCTTTCAGTCTTTGACTGTGCTTCCCATTGCCTTAATTAATGTATCAAGAGCCAAGGAACAAAAGAGCCTGCGAGAGCAGAGCCTGGGAAGGGTGGAGATGGGTCTGAGACCAGCGCAAGCAGGCGCTCTCTCTATCCGAAATGAAAAGGGCTGGGAAGTAAAACAGTGTTTAGTCTGGGCCAGGAAGAATGGCAAAGGTATTAAGCAAATTCAAAAGGAGGGGAGGCTGATGGTGGCTGCAATAATAAAAGACTCCTCAGAAGGGGGGAAGTTATACTGATTCCTTAAGAAAGGTAGAATTTCTGCAGGTGAAGAAAACAGAGTAGGTGGTCCTGACAGAATGAGCCGCTTGAGTATTTTCCTGCAGGCGAAGAATACTACTCATTCTTTTAAAAAGCATCTCTACTCAGCAATGCCTATAATTTATGTGCACAGCACAAAGAATAACAAAACACACACACAGACACTGTCCAAGTTCAGGAAATAGTATGTCATTATTTGCAATTTACTTTTTAAAAAATCATGGTTTAAAAATATATATATACACTATATGCATGCATATATGTCTGTCTGTATGATAATACTTACCTTTAGGATGATTTTAAGTGTACAATTTAGTGGCGTCAAAGACATTCACAGCACTGTGCACCCATCACCACTATCTATTTTAGAACCTTTTTCATCACCCCCAAAAAGAAACTCTGTGGCCATTCAGCACTGACTCTCCAATCTCCCCTCTCCACAGGCCTTGGTAATTAATTTATTTTAAAATGTATAAAAAAAAATGCCTGGCTATCGTGGCTCAGCGGTTGAGCATCAGCCTATGATCCAGGAGATGGAGGTTCAATTCCCTGGCTGGGCACATGCCTAGGTGGAGGGCTCAACCCCAATAGGGGGCATGCAGGAGGCAGCCAATCAATGACTCTCTCATCATTGATGTTTCCCTCTCTCTCTCTCTCTCTCTCTCTCTCTCTCTGAAATCAATAAAGAAATATTTAAAAATATATCAAAAAATGAAATGGCTTAATGGATGGTTAGAGGAATGTTCATAAAATGTTAAGAGATGGATTATATAACATGCTAACTGGATGATCTAGGTGGTGGATATATGTGTCCTGCAAATTTTTTTCAAATTGTAGGTTTGCAGTTTTTCCTCAATAAAATGTTAAGGGGGAAATTTCATACTTGGGCCCCCACCCAGGATTCTGATTTAATCGGTTGTGTTTGGGCCTGGACATCAGAATTTTTAAATTGTTTTCTGGATGTTTCTGATGTGAAGCCAGGTTTGAGCACCACTGCATGGGATCGCAGAGCAAGGGTGAGCAGAACTGGGCAGGAGGGGTGGAAGAGAGAGGGGAGTTTCTGGTGCATAGAAGGTGGGGCCTCCTGGCTGGGCTTCAATGTGCTTTGTGGCTAGACAGGCAGATGGGCCAGCTCCAAGTGAAGGACACAGGAAGCAGCTTCTCGGTGGGTTATTGAGAACATGGCGTTGGTCAGGGTTCTCTGAAGTTCTTAAAACGGGACTGAGACATTTATACATTTAATTTTGCATGATTTGTCCTTTGCAATGTTTCCTATAGCTTTACCCAGGAGCATCCATTCTTTCAGAATTCTTTGCATGTCAGCTGCCTTTAACCCTTACAGAGGCTAAGATCCATTTCAACATGAATATATATACATTTTCACATTTTACTGACTCATCTTTAAGTCATTTTTATGGAGATGAAGAGCTGGGTCTGTTGAAGCAGAAAGAAAATGTTATAACCTAGGTGGGCTTGGGCTCATGGGTCAGCAGAGGGAGAACAAGAGAAAGCTGGGCCTGGGCAATACAGGGACCTGCAATTGAATCTAGCTGTCAGGTTTTGAAATTTAACCATTCCAACAAAGCATCTGTAAACCCATTAACCGTGGTAACTGACACTCTCCAGAGAACTGATACCTAGACTTGCCCAATCACAACGTGCCCCCTGCAGCAGTATGCACATCCGCTGTAACCGCTCTTCTTCCTCTAAGGGTTATGGTGGTATGTAAGGTTGTTTGTCCCCAAAGTAAATGATCCCAGTCCATTTAACCATGTGAAAGGCAACAGGCACACTACCATCTGATCCCTTGTCATGGGACCCTAGCCTGGCTCAGTACAAGTGCCAGCTGGAGGCAGAACAGGGCCCAAGGGCAAAGGCAGAATGGCATCTGAGGAAGAGGGCCACAGGTCAGTTACAGAGCAACTGTATCACAGGTGAGATCTAAGGGGAAGCTGCTGGGCTAAGAGCAGGAAACAAACAGAAGTTCAAGAGCCAGAGGAATGTAAGAACACATCAGGAAGGGAGACGTAAGGCAGGAAGAGAACCAGAGCTTTGCTTATGAATGAAGCTCATTCTTGTTGCGAGCGCGGCCTGCGGTGCTTGGGTGAGCAGGAAGGAGCTAGGAAGTTCAGGGTGGGACAAACTTAAAAAAAAAAAGCGCCAAACTCTGTTATCACACAGCCTACTAACTGTTCATGTTGATGACTCTGAGCCATCCAGAAGAGGCTAGATGTGGTATCTTGCATAAAGTAAGGAAGCGCGTTAAACATTTTAGAAAAGTCTGTGAATAATGTGGTTAAAAAGGAAAAAAAAAAAAAAAAGAGGTCCTTTAATCCTTGAAAGGATAACCCTCAGCTGCCAGGAAAACACACACACGCGTAATCCCACGTTGCCTCCATAACTCTAGGTAGCTGTGGCGGTGGTTCGGGGAAGTGGAGGCACACTTTCAACTCCAGACGTCTCCATTGCTCCCAGCTAGAGTGACAGCCGTTCTCCTTCCTCCCTCATTTTGGAGCCATAAGGAATATTAACATTCATACATAGCTTTGATCCAATTTAGAAATTTTCAAATGTTCAAGGAAGTGCTATAAAGGCTGGCGTAAGCCATGGGCTTATCTGCTATGCCCAGGGGCCTGTGACACTGTCATTGGCCTCTCTGGGTACTACCACTGAGGGGTAGGAGAGGGGAGGGGTTGGGGGTAGGAAGACAGAGCCCTGAGGCCTCACGCAGTAGGAAAGCAGTGCCCCAAAGGGAAGTGTGGGCCAGAACACTTGACATACATCTCCCGCAACCTTTCAAGCTCACACAGGTAAGGAGCGACATAGCAGGGACCTGAACCCAAGTTTGCCTGTCTTGAAATGTTTTGTTCCTCCTACTAATATGTCTGCTTTGCTGGGGAAAACATTTATTACAACTGCTGCCAAACTCCTGGTGTTCCACAGGGTCTGCCCTCTCTCCTGCCCTGCTTTTACCCCCAGCCTGGAGTCCGCCTGGATGGAAATGCAGCAGATGATGGGCTCAGAGTTAATCATCTGCAGGTTTTCCCCGATAAGTCACAGTATGTTTGCCGCGCCGCTTCCAAGAGCCCACAGCAGCTACGGGGATGTGCCGAGAGCGGCCTGTGGCATTCAGCTTGCGGCCGGATGGGAGCAGTGCGCTGGGGCGCCTCTCTGAGCACCACCATCTGGAATGCTCTGCTGCCCTGAAGGCGCTGGTCTGCGTCTCCAGTGGACTCAGCCTAAATGCCAAAACCCGGGCCAAGCTCGCTGGATGTACAAACGGCCTGACGTCAGTGGAATTTGCTCATAATTTAGGCCTCATGTGTGATGTACTGTCTGAACTGAAAGATCTGTCAAAACAATCAGGGAGGAAGAGGAAAGGAAGAGCGGAGGAAGGACAGAAGCCAGAGATGGAAGGAAAAGCAGACAAGCAGGGGGAAGAGGAAATGAGGGCATGGCCGGGAGCTGCGGCAGAACAGGTTCAGCTTTTGACTCCTCAGGCCAACGGTCCCTGTAAATTTGTTGAAAGCATCAGTGCCAAATAAAACATGGCCTTTTAAAGCACTGAATTACGTGAGTGCAGAGCTGTTAAAATCAGTGTAGCAAAAATCCAGCTGGGTTTGGCCAGTGCCACAAAGCACAAAATGATGATCACTTGTTCTGCCAAGACTCAAGGTTCCCCAGACGCGGCGGCCTGAGCAGAGTTATTTGGATATATGTCCGGATCACCATTCTTTAAAACAAAACAAAAAATTGCTATTAAGAAATAGACAGCTGTTGTTTTTGCTTGCCCTGTGTCCAGAGGTGGGTTTATTGTGACGCTAGCAAAGTTTTAAGCTTCAGAGGCCTTCACTTGCCTGGATCCCTGTAGCTGCCGGGAGATTCCAGGAGTTATGGAGTGTCCTAGATGGAGAGAGGAAGCCACGTTACAATCAAGAAGCGTTTAAACATAAGCATCTGTGGTAAATTGCCTGAAGCAGACTTTGGAAGAAAAGAACTGAATCACTAAGATTCCAATAACTTGTTGCGATTTACAGTTTTATTCTTAATAAAATTCACTTAATACTTGTTTTTAAATTTGTAATTTTGTATTATTTTTATCAAGCAGAGGCCCAAAATGATAGCGCTTCAAGTTCCCCAAAACCTGAATCTGCTCTCTGCCTTCAGTTGCTTTTCTTCTGGTCACCATACTTTAATTTGTCTTTGTGGACAGGCCCTACTACTCACTCAGGGGTAGGCATACAATCCAGGGCTAACCAAACAGAAAAAACAGCGGTTGGGTCAGGAATAAGTGTTTGATTCATTCTGGACCAATGAGAATCAGTGTCAGAATCTTTGCTGGATCTTTCTACCATGGTTAAGTTGTGGGAATGCAAGTCTGACATGATCAACAGCAATATTGCTTCTACAAGAGGAACGTGCCTGAGAATAAAATTAACATAGAAGAAAGCAGAGCTGGGAGATGAAGCACAGCCAAGTCCTGTGGTGCCACTTTTTGTCCCTGAAACCAGCTGTATTGAAGCTGGTATGCAGAACCCTGGGCTTTTGAGAGAGACAATCCAAGTAAGTCCTCTTTTTGATTTAAGCTAGTTTGAGCTGGGTTTCTGTCACTTGCAACTTTAAGAGTCTTGACTAATTCAGGTCCTGTCATGCTAGAAAATGATAACTGTTATTAATTCAGTTCAGAAGGTGGTACTGTATTTGCCTTTTTTCCTCCCAGCTTTCTTGAGAATTGACATGTAGCATTGTGTAAAGTTTAAGGTGTATAACCTGATGATCATACATATTGCACATACAATCTGATACACATACATATTGCAAAGTGGTTTCTCCAATACGGTTGGTTAACATATCCACCACCTCACATAATTATAATTTTTTTGTATTTGCCCCTTATATAGTTATAATAATAGATAATGCTTATTGATCACTCTACTTAAGGGTTAAGTAAGCCACTGTATTTTTAATGCAACCTTATGAGGTACGTACTATTAGTATCATACCCGTTTTACTAAAGAGGAAAACTGAGGCACACAGAAGTTAAATGACTTATCCAATTGGTATGCACTCTGGTTTTAGACCTTGGATCACATTGTACTGCTTGAGCCAACTGATTCAGATGCTACTAACATTATTTTAAGAAGAGTTCTCATACCAAGACTCACTAACTGTTGCCAGCCTGTGGCTCAGACGCCCTGAACAAATGCCAGAGGTGGACAATAGGGTCCACTTGCCTCAGACTCAGGTAAAAGCGGCAGGTACTGAGAACATAGTAGACTCTTGACCAATAAGTGTATACCAGCTAATGGGACCCAACATCAAGTCCCTCTTATCTTCTTCAGTGAGTTCCTAATGGGTCTCTCACAAGTGTTCCCTTTTGCCTTCTGTCCTCCAGTTCATCCCACAACTACTCAGCTCCCTGCTATCAGTACTGACACTTCTTAGTTGCAGCTCTTCGGTCATCCATACCCCATCTGACGTGTTGTCGCTGGTATTGGTCGGAAACCGCAACATAATTCCACTTTAGTGGTCTTCATGCTGAAGGTGGGGAAATGGACCGAGGGCTCCCAGTCTGTCTTAAGCCATCCCCATATGCCCCCAAACTGAATAGCTCAGTTTCCTACAGCTCCTTCTTGTGCCTCTTCTAGACTTACATCTAGGACTGCCTCTGTGTTCTCTGCCTGTGGCTCTAGCCTGACAGGTTTACAGAGATTGAAAGCCTGGGTGGATCCCACTGTCACCAGACCGAGTATTTCAAACTTGAAGCCATGATGACTCAGTCCCTTCATTCTCCAGGGAACATTCATTGAGCACCCACTACACTGTGGACTCCGGGGTGAAAATGACAGTTCTAAGAGCTCTCAGAGTACCGGAGAAAAGTCAGATGGAACAGGGGTTGACAATTTCCTTGAATAGACTGACTTGAAATCACTGCAAAGGAAGGCGCCAGTTCACGGGAGGGAGGAGGGAGACTTGTTAATGAAGGACTACAGATGAAGCAGCAGGGGAATTGCTCTTGAGGTGTCAGTGGAAATAACCAGGCAGAGAAGAGAGAAGAGCATTCCAAGCAGATGAAACAGAACGTTCAAGGCTAGAAAAGCAGTAAAGCACGTGACTTGTTTGGGAAACAGCAAGAATTCTGGTGTGGCAGGAGGAGACAGTCTTTGAGAGAGAGTGATGAAAGACGAGTCTAAAAAGTAGTAGGGGCCAGTTTACAGAGTCCTCGTGTGCTGGGTTAAGGAATCTGAAATTCAGTTAGTATTCATAGGGAGCCAGTGAAAGACCGCAAGCCGAGAGTGACATGACTACATTTGTGTTTCAGGCATATCACACAGACAACCGTGTCGCTCCCGTGTAGTAATCACGCCCTTCCTTCCAACCCTGCTCTTTGGACTTGAAGTTCAGATTGATCCAACTCTGAACCTCCATGATTGCTCCTATTGTTAGTTTTCCTCTTTCTCTTTTCAACATACAATTTATACACCCTGAGGATCCCCCTTCCCCATCAGCCTGAGTGAGACCATTCCCCAGAGAAGTAATTCTCGGCCATGTGTGGTCATGTGCATTGTGGGGAGGGTATATCATTTTCACGTAGAGTGCGTTTTCAAAATACATATCCTTTGTGATACATTTCCCTCTTGCCCTGAAATTCTGATAGGCCTAAGGTTTGCGAGGATGGGTAGGGGTAGTTGGGGAGAGCAGCATTTTGGAAAAGTTTACTCTTTTAAAGAATGGGGATCTGGCCATGGGAACATTAACCAAGATAATGTCCCTCTCAAATCTGCGGTTATTAGAATACTACAAAATCTGCATTTATGTTTTAATAATGATATCCCCTGGTGTTGGTTGAATGGTGGCTCCCAAAAAGATATATCCATGTCCTCATATCTTGCCCCTGTAAATGTTACCTTATTTGGGGGGAAAAGGGGTCTTTGAAGCTGTAATTAAGTTAAGGATCTTGAAATGAGATCGTCTGGGATTATCCAGGTGGGCTATAAATCCAATAAGTGTCCTTATGAAAGACAGAAGCGAAGATAGGAACAAAGGGGAAAGGCCATGTGAAGACAGAGGAGGAGACTGGAGTTATGCAGCCACAGGCAAAGAATGCCTGGAGTGACTAGCAACTGGAGGAGGCACGGAGGTATTCTCCCCTAGAGCCTTCAGAAAGAGCGTGGCCCTGACGACACCTTGATTTCAGACTTCTGTCCTCTAGAATGATAAGAAGATAGATTTGTTGTTTTACGCCAGCAGGTTTGTGATAATTTTTTTAACCTTTACCCGAGGATATTTTTTCCATTCCTTTTCAGAGAGAGTGGAAGGTAGAGAGAAAGAGAGAGAGAAACATCGATGTGAGAGAGACACATCGACTGGTTGCCTCCTGCACCTGCCCAGGCCGGGCCCGGGGATCGAGCCTGCAATTGAGGGACATGCCCTTGGCCGGAATCAAACCCGGGCTCCTACAGTCCGCGGGCCAGTGCTCTATCCACTGAGCCAAACTGGCTAGGGCAGGTTTGTGGTAATTTGTTATGGTATCCTTACAGAGCTTACACACCCTGTTTCTAACATGTTATGCTTAACAGTCACTTTTCAGAGAGGAGACAATTTTTAAAAGTGCTGTATAATGCTATAAAGTAAATGAACTGGGGCAAGGTAACAATCTCTCTGAGCCAGTTTTCTTACCTAAAAACATGGAAATACGCCCAGCTGGTGTGTCTCAACGGTTGAGCATCAACCTATGATCCAGAAGATCGAGGTTCGATTCTGGGTCAGGGCACATGTCTGTGTTACGGGTTCATTCCCCAGTCGGGGGCGTGCAGGAGGCAGCCAATCAATGACTCTCTCATCACTGACATTTCTCTCTCTCTCCCTCTCCCTTCCTCTCTCTGAAATCAATAAAAGTATATTAGAAAAACATAGAAAGAGTAATCTCATCCTCACAAACTATTTTGACTATTAAATGGAAGAAAGTAAAACTACCCAGCAGATAACTGGCAAAAAAAGGCAGGTGCTCCAAGATTTATCCAGGTGAGAACAGGACCCCGCACACACGGCACAGACGCGCTGGTGAAGCAAGGCCTCCCAGGAGAGCGGGGACGGTTACCATGCCAAGCCTGGGCCCGTATCAGGATCTCTTTCACATGTAACCGCTTACGCGGGTCTGGCGTCAGCTCTTGCCCTCCCCAGCTAACCACTGCCCTCTCCCCCAACCTTCTCAACTTCCTGTTTACGTAGCTCGCTGCTTCCTGGCCAGGGGAACGGAGAGGCCTCAGCCCGGCTGCTTTCCCCTGGATCTGCGCCAACGTTACCTTCTTCGCTCTCCTCTCTCCTGCTTTCTTCTTATTTTAGAGGCTTTCAGATTAATGAGGAGCCAACGGCTGCCCTGTGCAAAGAGAACACATCAAGTGTTACGTAGGCATTAAGAAATCTGTCGAACCACGCTCCAGGCGGCCCCTTCAAGCTATTGATACTGATGTGGTGTGTTGTTTTTTTTCATTCAACGGTGCTGGTCATGATGCCTCCACTCTCGGGCCAAGCGCTGATCTGTTCCTGTGAAGGAGCCCTGACCAAGGCTGGCAGGACAAAAGTAGGTTGAACTCAACCGGAACGCCAGGCTGGGAGGTTGTTGAAATGATCTAATTCACGGTTCTGAATATGAGGCCGATGTCCAAATCACTGAGAAGCTTTTTTAAAATAAATAAGCAAATATGCAAACATTTGGAACTGGAGGGAAGGCATGGGTATTTTGAAAAAAAAAAATTTTTTTAAATCCCCCAGGTGATAATGATTTTCCCCACAACTCCAGGTTTATCATCTTTAGCACAGTAGATAAGAATGTGAACTCTGGAGCCTGACCCAATTCAAATTCTGGCTCTGTCATCTATGAGCTGTGTGACATTGCACTTGTTACATAACCTCTCTGTGTCTCAATTTCCTTATCTGTAAAACAGTAATAATAATACCTACCTTTGTCACGGAATTGTGAGGAATAAATTACTTAACGAGTGAAAAGCACTTAGACTATATATGCGTTTGCTATTGTTACCATTACTTTTGTTTTTATTGGCCTGCTGGAGGGTGAGGAAGTTGGGAGAGGATGGGATGGCTGAATTAGTGATCTGAAGATGATGCAGCTAGAGGAG